ATAAATGTAATTTTTACCACAATACCAAATTGAATCTGAAGACCATAAAATGAGTTCCTTTAAAATATATTCATAAGTATGATTTTTCTTTTCTTGACAACTCAGAATATGGAATTTGAGATTGCTTTCATGTTTGAGAGAGCCCTACCTAGTGTGTCAGTAGTATTTTGAGAAAATATATGCCTGGTACTTTTATTATCCTGTACCAACTTCTGTTTGATTGTTGTGGTACACTATATGCATACCCATTTTGAGAACATGCCACCGATAATTCAATAATTACATTACTCTTCCAAATGAATTGATTTAGCATGGTTATGCTGAACCTCAAGTTTTACATTTTTTAAAGACATCTCCCCACAATGAAAGTTTTAACTTCTTGACACTTGATGCCAAATTATGCTTCTGGGATTACCTCTCTTTTTTTTTTTTTCTGGACAATTTTATTTCCTGGATAGGTGTGGTTTCTGGTTATTACTTTGAAGTACTCCTGCATACTGGGGTTTAGGGAACTATATGAAGGTATGGCCATTTGGTTCCATGACTGTGTTCTTTGACTTAACTTCCTTCCTATATACGACAGTGTCTTTCACCTTTTCCTGGTCCCATCTTTACATATGGTGGTTCTAGCAATAAGTTCTGGTAGAATCATATTATCACACTTAAAAGTTTTATTTAAAATGAAGCTCAAATACATACCTTTTACCATATCATACCTGCCTTCCTTTTCACACATTTTTTGAGAAAAACATGACAAAACAAAGAAGCAAGGCTGGGTATCAGCTCAGTCATAGGGTTTGGTTTATTATGGATTTTGTGTAAAGCTACACAAGGGCTATCTGCCCTAGCATTCCCTAATTTAGCAGTGTAAGACTTGATGGAAGGCAGCTAGTCATCACCACCCACCACCAACTCTTGGGCTACTTATTTACCAACGAATAGTGGGATTGATTGTAAGATTATAATGCTCCCATGACTGAAAGGGTGAGCACGTTTGGTGTGACAGGGATTCGAACCTGCAGATTACGAGTCGAGCACCCTAACCACCTGACCATGCTGGGCTGCAGTCATAGGGAATACATGTTGAGACTGATTGGACTGGGATTACATAAATAAAGGGTGTTCTAGGACATGACTAATGATTTATTAATGTTATCATGCAAAAGAGATTCTGCAGTTTCAAGCTTCAAACAGGGAACAATGTAAAAAGAGATCAATGGAAACAAGAAAGTCTATATTTTGGTATTCAGCCAAGAGAACAGCAGAGATGTCTTTTTGAATTTATTTTAATATGAAAAGTTTAATGTTATGAAAGTATTCAATAGAGATGAAAATATTAAAGAAAAGCAATTAAGAATTTAGTGGGACTTTGCAAAATGAACTGTAGAAACCTTCTAATTACTTAATTTTATGAAACTACAAGCTGAGGTACCCATTCTTTGTCCAGGTTATGAACTTAACAAAATATGGGGTGTATGCTATGATAAATAACTAAAAAATCCTAACTTTCACACAATTTATAACATATTATTACAGTATTCATTATTACCTCACCCAAGGTTTTGTATAAGTTTTAAGAACGCACTATGCTTATACTTAAAATATGGTATATGCCATGCGATGGTCAGGGTGATTTTGTAGGAAGAGGTAGTGGCCAAAGTAATGGCAGTAGGGGTACTTTCTGTTACCCACTTTCAACACCCAGCTCTTAATTTCCATCCACACCGTTTCCCATTATTAGTCAATTGACAGTCATTAGCTGCAGAAGTGCCTTACGGGCTGAAGTTGTAAGGTCACGGGTCAAAGTAAGAAGTGGGTATAACTCAAGAAGTGGCTTTTCAATATCAGCTTTATGGTGGCTGTTGGAGTAGAAACTTCATCAGAGTTTATGTATTATTGCAATAGTAGGAGCCTTTTTTTTTTATTGTATTCCTCCATAGAGAGTGCTAGAGCACTCTGAGATATACAAGATGTTTGTGTGCCCTCCCCCCACACTGTGTATATGTTGTACTATAGAAAATTTAATAGTTTTTTTTTAGTGTAAGGATGTGGTGTCAACTATGAATCCAGTTAACATTTACTTATGTGAAAAATGATAAATGCTCAATAACAGCAATATTGAGGGGTGGAGAGGGTTGTGAACCCCTATTAACATGCCCCTTGTTTCGAACTATCATCCCACAAAGTTTGGTTGAGATTAGCCCAGCAACCTAGTAGTAGTTAAGTAATGGACAAACAAACACACACACACAGATTTTTTCTGTGCTTTATAAATATATATATTGTAATAAATTAATATAATTTTTTAAAGATTCAAAATAACCAGAAATATGTGTTATTAGGAATAGTTGGACCAAAAATTTCATCCAGTGATGATGATATTTTGATATCTCGTCACTTCATAGGTGTGAAGATACTGTAATTGTACATTTTTATCTTCTCAAAGGAATGGGAGTTATAACAGTTACTGTAATTCTATTGGAGATTTGTTGCTAAAATGTATTTAATTTCCACTTGTAAGTTATTCATCTGGTTATGTTTATTACAACATAATGAAAAACTGTTAGGGAAGTCAAAGTTGCATATGCTATGTTCTAAACCCTAAAATTATAGTAATTTTATGTTTGGTTTCTTATAACTCTCACTGTACAGAATCATACAAAATTTAGATAAAATAACTTATCTATAAAATACAAAGAAGACTCCAGTTGTAATTAGTGAAACTAATTGCAATATCAAAGGTATTTTTCTTTAAACATTTTGTGTGACTTGTATGGTATTAGGGCTGTGTAACCAACAAAGTCATGGAACAAAGAGAAATAACGTTTATAAAAATATCTTTAAAAAGCTGCTGATTCCATTAATAATTCTAGAGGGAAAAAAAAAGACTAAATTCTGTGGCTAAAGTTCAATGCTTTACAGGTTAATTTGCACATAACTAATTAAGCTGTTTGTCTTGTTTTCTGATTATAAATATTGCATGGTGTGTTTTATTTGAGATTATTATAAAATTGTTTTTGTGTGTGTGTATCAGATAACTTGTACAGAAATATGTAATTATGCAGATATAAGATGATGCAGTATTTCCCATTTGGTTTATATTTAAACATAATGCAGGTGAAGAACACTGATAAATTTACTTACTGGAACTTGGAAATAAATTTCATATAAATGACCATGTATGTTAAATAAGTTATCTTTAACTCCATTTTTTGTGTGTACACTTTGTGTTTATCATCTCAACTACATTTAGAGAATGTATCAATTTCTCTATTTTTTAAACTGAAATAAATATTCTAATATAGTGAATTATTTAAAACAGTATCTGTACACTTAATTTTTTAATAGGGTGAAATTTTGCTGAACAAGTCATTTTAAAATTAAAAAGATTTATCATTATCCTACATTTATTCTTATATCTTTTGTTGTGTGACTAGTTTTTAATTGGTAAGACAAAGTTAATAATTTCCTATGTTGATACTGTAATTCTTGTGAAATGTTCAACAAAATTTCATATTGTCTATTTTGTTAAAAATTCAATAGACAGTGACATTACAGGCAGTACAGTAGGAAAATATAAACATTTTAAGGTTCTTGCATATTTTAGAAATGTATAAGCTTTACTTCATTCTATTACAAAAACTATGTTATATTTTTGTTAGTACTGAACTGACAAATTATTGAATGAATGTGATTTTACATTAGCAGATATATAATTCACAAACAATTTAGTAAAATTAGTAATAAAGTTACAATTTTAGATACAAATGAGTTATATTTTAGTACTTTCACATCAAAACTTACAGGAAGATCAGAAAATAAATATCCTTAAGGTAAACATATAACTTAATTTCTTTAAAAGCCCTATTAAATACTCGTTTAAATTGTTTTTAGTCAGGGAGAATACTATATTTTAAACATATATGAGCATTGACTTGTATTTGCCATGATCATTTATTTAACAAATATCAGTTCCAAAAATTTTAATATGATTTTTATACTTATTTTTGTAAAAAAGAACATATATATATGTGTATATACACACACAATAACATCTTCTTATGATACAAGTGTTCATGCTTGTTAGTGCAGAATAAAAGTGACAGCATAAAAGTCTAATGACTTCTGATTTATTGTATGTTCTGTACTCCATGCTTTGCTTCAGAGTCTTCCTTCTGAATGGTTCTTGGCTGTCATCCCCAGTATTTTATGAAAATGACTCTAGAAAATGTTACATGGCCAATACACTTAAGTTAAATTAACCTGCTACATTAAGCAATCCATAATGTTACTTTGTAAGGTTCTTTTTCTCTTTGGATGTGTTAAAAACATTTTGTTCAATATAATTAATTTCAAATACTGACTGCTCATTTTATAACGTAAAAGTTAAAGGCAACACGAAACCAAGTAATAAAAATTGGATTCATAAATTACTGGCAAAAACAAAATAAATATGGTCATCACTTGACATTTGTCCTTATGAAATATATTATTGAGAAACAGCTAATGTTTTTCAGTTGAAAGACAATGCTGATCTCCAATGAACACTTGTATTACCACAACAATGCATTCCTCATGTATGACATAAGCATTAAATTCTCTTTTAAAGAGCTTATAAAGGAATACTATCATGATTAATACTTAGGTGAGCATTAAATATTGTATGAAAGTGTTTTTCTATTCCAAAAGTAATATAAATCTCAAAACAGACTGATAATTATAATTAAAATAACACTGAAAAATACAATGGCCCAAGTTTTGTAAATAGATACACAGATTCAGAAAATATTTTATATAAGAAACTGTATTTAATCTGTATTAAGTTTATGGTCAATTGTCTACTGCCACCTAAGTGGTGTTTTTACTAAAATATTTAACTATATATAATCTACGATCTACTAACCTAAAGGATTTTATTTCACAACCATTTTTTATGAAGTAACTTTTTATTATAATGCATCTGAAAACATTTTACAAAATAAAAAAATCAGAAACTTTCCTTTAACCTTTAAAAGATAAGAAAACAAAAACCAACTTAACTTTTTTATTGAATACTAACACTTATTGAATATGTTTCACATGTAAAAACAAAAACAATCCACAACAAAAATAGTACTATTGGTAGTTACTAAAATAAATTGCAAGGATCATATATTCTTGTGTAACTTAAGAATCCTTTTTAAGACATTTATGTTACTAGTTCCCACTAAAAAATTTCTACACCATTTCACTTGTCAGAAGTTGAAATATTTTAGTTATTTACTGGACATATCAATGTTGTCTTTAGATTTGACTTTTCTAGGTGCATAGCTATACAAATATAATACTTCGTTAGAAAAGGTTAAAACAATCAGTGCAATATATCCAAAGTATATATATTTTTAGGTATCAATACACTTAATATTTATAAGTCAAAGAATCATTCAGTATTGTACTTGCTATTCTAGTTAAAATAGAGAAATTTAGTTCAGGATAGACAATTAAACTTAAGAGAATTTTGTTGAAAGGGAGAATTATTAAAACGTGTACTGATAAAACAGAAAATTTCAATAAAAGTGAAACATTAATGCTGGACTGCTTATGAATCATAATTTCCAATGCTGAAACAATGTATACATAATTTTACCAACATAAAACTATTTATAACTTAAAAAGTATAAAAAAATTACAACTAGAAATAAAGAAAATTAAATTATTATACACTTATATACAAGTTACTGTTAAGCTCAAACATATTCATAAAAAGTGGTTTAGAATGCACATCAATCCAACTGCAGCAGCTGATACTGTTAATAATAAAGTTTAAGCAAATAGGAGACGTTTCAAAAAGAAAAAATAATACATTAAACTGCTAGCTTTAGTTTTGACCATATTCCAGTCTAATATCCTACAACATATTATGTACCAGAAATCTTTCTTTTGAAAGGCATGTAAGCTTTTGTGGATTACTTTTTCAGTTGTGAAAATTCACACAATTGTTGTCTGTGGTCCTGTTGAAATGTAATATCACTCAAGTGTTTTCTAAATGTAAGGGCTATTCGGTAAAGAGCACCATTCAAAGCAATTCTCAAACTCTGTCGTAACTGAATATCTCTTGAAAGTGGACCAGGTTTTCGTGCTACTGATAAACTTTTCTGAAAGCGTTCTAAGGTAGTTTGTAGGTCTAGCATCAAGGAAGTAATTTTCGACAAAGATTTCTGGATAACTCCATACCTGTCTTCATGATATGATGCACATACAAGAAAAGAAAGAGCTTCAATGCCCCATATTACAGGCTGACATGTCAAAAAATACTTGTGTGTCTGAGCTTCTGGGTATTCACTGTAAATTGCAGAAACTGGAGAAATTTTGTTACAGAAATCAATGATTTTTTGTAGTTTGTAAGCAAGATAGTTTTCAATGCGTTTTATAGAATTTAAATCTGTTGGTGGTACCTCTTTTGGCTTCTGTGATTCTGTCTTGGGTGGAACCGATGATACAGTACTCAACTGTTTCATCAGTGTTTCTATATGAGCAAGTACACTGGAAGAGATTTGATTCCACTGATGTGGGTGGCCACCAGGTTGGCTTACTGAAAATATCTGTTGTCTCCGTTTAAAAGAATATTTGGCAAGAAGGCAAAGGTCTAAATATCCAAGAGACTGAAGCAAAGGAATATCATTACAAGCAAGGCTATGATGCAAGCACCTGTCTTTTTCTGCTTCAAATGTTTCTTCCAGGGGAAAAACAATTCTCTCTGTGAGGAAAATCTTTAACAAGTATTTGTTGTATGCCCAGACAATATGCAATAAGATTCCCGTTATAAAAACAGTTAAGAATAAATCAATATCCAGAAGTCCTTTAAAAGTTGTTAGCTTATATTCTTCACCGTAGGAAAGATTAAGAACAATGGAAACATTATCTCTGAAACTTTTTCCAAACACAAAATAAACTACATAAAAATATTTCATTTCTTGCAGTGTTCTTATGGCACCTTCAACTATAACATTATGTATTTCTGATTTACTGACCAAAAGTTTAGGCTGATGAAAGGGATTAATTTCAAGATAGTAGGAATCTTGTAAAAAACTTGAAATGTAGTACAGCATCCCTGCAAACATCCCATTGAAAACTACAAAGAAATGCTTTTCATCCAAACAAATAAGATCTGTATCATAAAGACATATTTGTGATAAGTTTTTATGTTTTTTACTTATAAGGGCCAAGTAGCATCTTACAACAACACCCCCTCCAAGTCCGCAAACTATAATGTTAAAAATATTTTTTGGCTTGCAGAAATTAACAATTACATCTAATCTCGATCTCCAGATTTTTGGAACTACAGATAACTGGTTTAGCTGTATAATCGATATAAACGAAGTCACCAGTGCTAAAAGAACCTGAAAGCAAAGTTCGGGGTATCCGATATATGACCACATTACATCTGTGAATCCTTGCATTACATTCCATGATAATGCATTGAACATAAAGAGGGTTATACAAACTACACAAATCTGAAAAAACAATGTCCACAAAGTAGCATTCATACTTCTTCGAGCAACAACTTGTGTCTTAAACCACTCTCGCATCTCGTGTTTTATAATGATCTCACCAGTAGACTAACTTCAATTTACTAGAATTTTTCTAATTTCTAAAAATTATATAAAGTTAAGATAAGCTCAGTCTATACCTTAAGTAATATAGTGAACACTAACTTGCCGGTTTTTCAAATCAACCTTTGATTAATTTTCATAACTAAGCCATGCCTACGATAACTGTGAGGAAAACGTGATATTAAATAGTACACCAAACCGGAAATTACTTTACTATTAAACCATTCAGAATTTTAATAAAAAGTAGAAATAGTTTTTCAAAAATGGTCATTTGTTATTTATTAATAAATTTGTAGTTTAATCTTATACAACCAAAATAACGATTGAAATACGATTTTGTTTTTACAAAAAAAATAAAAATAAATAAAACAATAATAATCCAACTATTTAAAGCTGCTGAAATGTTATTGAATCTAGATAACTAGATAATGTTTGTATGAATTTCAATTGTATCAATTAGATAGTTGCATAAATAATGTTAAAATATACCTAATACTAAATTATTTACAATTTTGGAAAGAGTATGGAAACACTTGTGCAAAATAAAACAATCGGATTTAAGACTAGCCTAAATTTCTTGATATATATGAAACTCATGAGATATCAAATGGGGCAACTGCTGAAAACAATGATAACATGGACGGCATCATTGAAGCATTCTAGTAATTTTGAATTTGCGTTTAATTAATGACATCTCATACTCTTCGAGAGATTTGATATTAAACTACTACATTACTTACAAAGTTTGTTGCTAATTCTGATTTAAGTAACTTACTTTGATCAGAAGTTTTGGTAAATCTATATCCCTTATTACACGGAAAAGAATTTTTTTTAGATCACATTTAATTGAGAAACGTTTAGTTATCTGAAAATTAATTACAAATACAAAACATGTAACTGTTTGAATGTGTGAGCAAAATCTCCAAGAAGCCAGTAAATTTTCACGCGTAATGGCGAACTGTAGTATAGAAAAACCCAGGGAGCGTAGCCATAAATCTATAAAGTGGATGAGTGGTGAAGCCATACTGAAGAGAGGGTACCTGAAACGTTTTTACACATTTTGTTTCATAAAATAAATATTTCAGAATAATACTTAAGCTTCTTTTAGTTAATAATAGTTATATCCGACACAGTTACTTTTCTACTGGTATATATATATATATATGACCAGGTTTGATCAAAGCATATATTATTCACAATACTTAAATTACTCTACGATAGGACTGAAAGCTAATCAATAAATATTTATGAGTATTCATTGAATATGTTATACATCGGCATCTTGTGATATTTGGTTACAACAGTTTATACATGTGCTGCTATCTAGTACATAATTATTATGTGATACAGGATTACTGTTCAGCCTTTTATTTTATTCATTGTTTAATAATGGCTGGAGACGGCTTGAATGGGTAATGAAGAAAAACTTTAATATAACAGCAAATATACAACGTTT